CTTCAAAATCTCAGAAGAAGTCCTAAATAATACATACGGAACAAAATCGCCCAATTTTAGATATTGCATAAAATACTGACTTAGGACTTATTAAAACTTTCGGCCTATCCCAGGAAGATTAAGTATAAGAAATGACAGGGAACTCGCAGCCATGGAGTGAATGCAACCATAGGCCCCTCTGACCCGCTTCACCACCCTAACTCACTTAAGACTCTCTTAACGATACTGACTTTATTAATTCTCATTATTCAGAGGATCTCTATGACTAATGTCGTATAGCCGAGTGGTACGTCCTACGACTAACTTGCAATTTTAAATAAAATAATTTGGATGCATTTCCATTGTGGGTGCTAGTAATCTGAATAGGAATTACGTAAACATCAACACCCTCATAATCATTTATTAATGATCCCTCAGTGCATAAATAACAAGTCTTGTTTAAAAGAGCATTTAGTCAGCGTTCGGCTGTTGTATTGTAATAACCTAATTTGCTTTAAAACATTTCTAGCAGTAATCTGGAAAGATTTCCTTTTCAAATAAATGCAAATAGATAGCTTGTTAATTCCAGCTGAACGTTCGCATAGACTGGTAAATTACCTCAAAATACGGAAGCAAAGTTACGCCCCGCTCCCACACATAATTCTGGTAGATATAATGTGAAATACCACTGCTAATCTGATTACCGCAGGGCTTTAATGTTATTACTACCTACGGAATAAGGAACAACCTTTGTTTCGCATTAACGAGCACTAAACGATTTTCCGTAGCTCATAAAATTCAATGAATCATATCACTGACCATACACAATATGTAAAACATGACAGTGTATAATAGAGCGATCTAAAACTGTAAAAATAACGTATTCTGCTTGCCTGCATCAAGGACTAATAGGGAAAAGAAAAATGGGAAGATTAAATCCCAGATATTACTAAATGTATTGCTGACATTATTCCAGAATTTGCAGAAAACTCCCTGTCACAATTGTTTTTGAATTTAGAAAACTCAGTATCTACCACTAAAAAACCAATAACCAAACACTTACAATAACACACAACTGCACTTGAGGTTGGTACTAAAAAGACTTGAGAGACAGGTTTTAGTTGGTAGGCGCTCCTTTTGGAGTGAATCCAACACTACCCAGTCGCACGGACGGAGTGTCTTTTGAAGATTTTTCCTCTGTCAGGGTGGAGATTGCGTGTTGATTTATACGCTGACACAATTGAAGAAGTAACAATTCATAATCAAAATCATCAAGTTCAGCATTTTTTAATCGTAAATATAAAGGTCTTCCAACATATGCACGTACATTTTTGTAATTGTAAATAGTGTAAGTAAATAATACTATGTGCAGTTACCTGTGTTCTTCTTTTTAGAAATAGATTATTTGCATTTAAACTTCGATAATAAAGATTGTGTGCTCCCTCATAGGAGAAAGTAGTGGCGCGGCAGCCTAAACAAATAAAAACAACAGGCGACTGATGAGGATTAGAAGTGAAAAAGTATTAGATAAAGTAGAAGAACGGAGAGCACTGTGGATGTCAACAGGAAATAGACGAGATAAGTTGGTAGGACAACTTCTCAAGCATAAAGGGCTAGTTAGAGGCATATTAGAAACAGAAACAGGAGTTAAGAGGAGTAGAAGTGGATATTGATTGAATTATTGTTCAAAAATAGTTAATGATGTGAATGATCTAGAAATGCGAAGATTAGCTCGCAATAGAAATGAGTTGAAGCGGGTGTCCAATCAGTCTTAGGACCGACAACTCTATGATGCTGATGCATCTCATTTGTAATAACCCACGATACCTGCATGCTGCATATATACGCACACTGTCATCCGTAATATTGAGGAGGGAACTGGAATAATTAGCTCAAAGTTTCTGTTTAGGTTTTTAAAAAAAAGTATAAGAGTTCATAGGTTCCTTCATCAGTTACTGTTGTTGTCAAACAAATTATAGTTATATATTAACTTATTTAAAATGGTAACTTACTAACTAGAAACTTGTCTAAAACGGTAATTCACTGTGTCCAAATTTTATATGTTGCTACTGCTGCGATCCCTTTGTTCGCGTACTCGGCACCCAAAAAAAGGCATACATACTACGCTACCTTTTTTATAAAATAAAGTAAACTCGAAGTTAACCATATTAATCAGGCGTCCAATGTTCTTAGTGGGAAGTAGAAAAAATTAGAAAATTTTGACTACGCAACTCAAGGTTATGACCTGCGAGATTCTAAACTACCTCTACCAACATCGTTCGAAATCAGAATTTTTACAGTCATCCGCCTAATACTCGAATCTCTGTTCACGTCTTTCAATTTATTTAAGAGTTGTCACTCTCTACTTAAATTCTTCATTTCTAGAACCTAAAGTAAATATTCAAATGTATTGTATACGACGTAACATATATCTAAATATTATTTGAGACGCTTTTTTTTTTATTGTATCGTTCCAAAACACAGTGACAAAAGAAAAAGAAAATAAACCATTGAAAACATTTTATTCGATATGAAAACAAAGAGATTGCTGTCTCGCATTTTTGTGAAAACGTACAAACAGCGGGAATGTGTCACGTTGAAAATAGCAACCTACATTACAAAAATCAAATTGAAATCTAAATAGAACTAACCGTTCCAGTTTAACAAAGTTTGGTGCTGTTTGCTTCACATAAAAAAAAATATGAAAGGAAGTACATGTACGTTTTATTTTGTGCTGTCCAATGCAATCATATTTTTTCATGACACATGAACAAACAGCATCTTAGATCCGTTTCATTTTTGGACGTATGAAAAATAGGTGTATATGTTAACGGAAATGTATGTAATCCGTCATTGTATACAATTCCCAGGAAATGTATATAATTCCTAAAATCGCCCCGAAATGTGTGAAAAAATTATATTAGACAAATATCCTTGGAAATCTATACATTTTCTAAATAGCAATCGGAAATATGTTACATTCAAGACGTCAATAAGTACGCGGGGATAGCGGAGAAAGGGGAGGGTATTGCGTCATCCAATCAAGCGATTTGTTGTATTCACAGATAACTCTGATTCTCAGTTTACTAACGTTTTTTATTCATTTTATTAACAGAAAGTATTAGTTTTATAAATTTCCTAGTACAATATCGGAATTTCATACAACATACAGGTACATATCCTAGGATATGTGTTTGTGAAACAATATTTTATAGATCTCCTAAATAGCCTCAGAGTTGTGTACATTTCCTAGGAATTGTATACAATGCCTAGATTTCATACATTTCCGGTAACATATACTTAAACTCTCCTTAGTGTACATCTCTTTAATGCTACTTCTGTATACAATTCTACTTCTGTATATTTTTTAATATTTATGTACGTTATGTGCACGCACTAGATGTTATACTTACTTCTATTTATATATTTATTTAGCCCAATGATTCCCAACGGGTGGTTCGCGAACCCCTGGGGGTTCGCAGTGTTTGCAGAGGGGGTTGGCGAAAATAATACTGTAATGGCCGATTTTTTAAAACGCCATTAAAATCAAAAACAAAAAGAAAACAAAACAAAAACACAAAAATTAAAGAAGACTGTTCGCTGCCTGTTTGTTAAGAAATCTATAAAAAAATCGTCAAATATCCCACGGGAAAAACTGATTTAGCCGATATAAACATAATAATAAAATCTGCGTACAGATTATCCGCGTAGCTTCAGTCTACCACAGACGGGGCTTCTACTCCCCTACAACTATCGCTTAATTACTGCTTTTTGTCCCTGATACGAGGTAGAACTGTTATTCTCTGGTAAACACAATTAATGAAATTCCGTAAACAAAATAAATAATAATAAAAATAAAAATAAAAGAAATACCTACCTAATAATTGTAATAAAGATTAAAAATTCCTTAAAAGTTAATTTATAAGGAGTCTAAACAGGCCAACACACTGTGTCAAACAATATGACAAACTGTTGTGAATCTCTCAACTGCCCACCTTAACAAATAACTAGATAAACAAACCCAATTCAGGATTAACGTTTTTCTGGAGACTTTCGGTGTATAACAGAAACGAAATAAAGAACGTAGTATAAAACTTGTCCTTGTTTCCACTACATATTTATTTTCAAAACCAAAACAGAAAACCTACTTTCTAGATGTTTTCCAAATTTTTAAAAAACTTGGTTGAATATTGGTAAGAGAGCAGGGCATGAAATTTTAACTTTATTCTAAGTATGAAGGAATTTAACGGTAATATGTTCTGATATTAAAAGAGGGGTTACACTTTACAGAAGATGAAAATGCTATATTTTCCTTTTAATTGCGTATCTCGATCACGTGCTCAAAGTTTGCAGAAATGTATACTTTGGTACTAATTGAAACAAAATGGGTGGTCAACAGGGGTGAAACAGACAAAAATTAAGAGCAAATCAACTTCAAGGATATTCTCGACTATCAAATTTTTTATCTTTAAATCAGTTCGAACATTTAGAATCACTAATTTATCACAACTTTTCTTGAAATAATATAATACCAACACATGATATTTCATGCCCTCTCGCAACAATTTTCGCCTAATTCACCCCTGTCCGCTTACCCTTTTGTTTCGACTCGCATGTCCGCCCTTCGGAAATTCAATTATGTATGCCAATGACGTAATTAAAAAGAATATTAGGCACTTTCACCGTCTGTGTTTACTTCTTATTTATGTTCCGAACATATTACCATAAAATTTGTCCATAATAACGTCGAAATGTCGGTCCCAGCTTTTATGTTTGCCTACTGTATGGTATGGTCACAAAAATTAAAGAGAGCTATATCTAACTAATAACTCCAAGGGTGCTGTAACAGCGACAATAACAGTAACAGCAACGAATTATATTAGCACGTCGGCCAAAGTACTCTACAGGCTTAGAGTACCTATTACAGTGGATGGTGTTTTTAACGTTTTTTAACTTTGACCAAAGCGATACATCAAATTAATGTATAGGTATGTATACGTATATGAATGAAACATACATACCCTTATAAATCTTCCTGGGTGTAGGTATATCTGAAAAAAAACAAACAATACTTAATTTTTGTTTGCAATAATACATTGCTTATAGTTTAGAAACATTAAAGTCAATAGTAAAAATACAAATGATGATCATTGTAACAGTAAATAATGTGTTCTTGGTGATGAGTAAAATGGTCTTGATTTTGCGAAAATGGAAGACCAAGACCGAATACTCATGACTAAACGAAAAATTATTCGATTTAGGTTATTAAAATTATAATCGCGTTCTTACTCTTATCTTAATGATTGAAAAATGGGAATGATAATGTGAAATCAATAGTAGACAAGATATCCAATAAATTTTAATTTCAATCTGCGTAAACTGAGAACAGTATTTATTTAAATCATTGAATCATTTTGAACTTCAGTTATTCTATCAATAATTTCATCTTCGCTTTGAGTTTCACAGTCTATAAATGTAATTGTCATGCACTTGCACGAATGAGTGAGAATATAAATGCTACGATGGCTGGTATGCTGAGCGCCTTTCAGTTTTACCCCTATTCTGCGGCCAGCTGTAATACGACATGCGATAGATAGACGAAAAAATTTGAGGCGATGTAATAAAGCTTTCACTTTAAAAACAAAAAAAGAAACTACTACTGTTAGAAAAAAAGAATCTACAAGAATGTCCTCGGGTAAGTGCTCTTTGTTCCCATATCTGAATAACACGTGGTTGAAATATAGAGACAAAGTAATTTTTTACTTCTTTCAAGTACTTACTTAATAATATTTTATTCGTCAAAAGGTTAATTAATGCGTTAGAGAAAGGGTCAAATTATCCTTTTTCTATATATGACTTTGATAAAATTTTTAGTAGAAGTTCATTTAACTAATGAAGGATGGTGTTTGTAGGCAAGTACTCATGTGCACACAGTACCTACTTACTTTAGAAATTATACGTACTTCTTCTTTGCATTTAAGTATTTAGCAGATATAAATATATATTAGGGGTGAGTAGTATCCGGATGCTTCGGTATCTTCACAAAAGGTAACCCCCTAAGCAGTACCTACACACGAAATATCACGAAACCTTCGTTCCTCTCATGTGATAGTGTAGCGGTTTTTTTTAGGGCAAATTCTATTCTATATTCTTATCAATGTAGCAGTTCTTACACTTACAGTGTGTTGTCAAATTACGCCCAGGACAGGCTTCGGATTTTAAGTTATGTGTACGAAATTATGACGTACTGTATATTCTTTAATATTTCAATGATTATTAATGTCGATCATTCTCATGGTATAGGTATGTTTCAAGTTTATGCTTGTTCGCGATTGACGTCATTCATACGGGCACAATGCCCCAATTGTTTGCCATTCATCTTCACCTCACCACTCACTTAATTATAGTCAATGCTACCGTAAACACGCCGCATGGTGTCATTTAATATAATAAATTTTATATCACAGTGTGTCGAATTTTATTGAAAAAAAGTAAAGTTAGAGCGCACATTATGGTTTTCTCACAATATTTTCGTCCCTTAACCCTTAACCACTCTGTTATACTCTATATTATTACACCTATTAATTGACACTTTTAACAGTAGTTTTACGATCAGTGACTCTTAAATTTCCAGAAGTTTCGTACCTATGTAAACTATTTATTTTCAAACGAAAATTGTTTAAAACGCCAACGCCTTTCTCCCCCCCCCCCGATTTATTCATGTACTTTTTTCACAATAGAGGAATTTTAAACTACTATTTACAACATTAATGAGTAAAATTTTCGAAAAAACCGAACTGATGTTTTACCCTCTTGTGTATGAGCTCATTCTTCTCTAAAACTGTAACGGTGTTCGAAGTTACAGCAGAGGGGCGAAAATCCAACACTTTTTGATAACTCGCAATTTTATTGCTACATTTTGTTTAGGGATCTCGTAAAGAAAGAAATGGGTCGATTTGAAAGCAATTTACAAAATTACCCTTGTACATTAATTCGCATTGTAAGATGGGAAAACGACGTTTCATTCAAGCTACGTACGTAGAAACGAGCGATTTCAATTAATCTCCTTTGTCTAGAAGACAGAACCCAATTTGGTCCAAGTTTTCCATAGCCGCTTTATATCTGTACAATGGTTTTATTGTCTGATGGCAAAATTTTGAACAATAAGTAAACCGGGTAAATGTCCTTGTCAGAATAAATTCATAAAACAAACTGCGCCGTAGATGAAAACTATTTAGCTTGTACGTACGCAGTCTATTTGTAGAATGTGTTTTTATCTTCGTAATTTTGTATGCGGGTGGGTGGATATAAATGCTGTCTCGAGTGTCGCTAGAAAGCGCTCCGAAAAAAAGGCAGTATTATTAAGCCACCCTAATAATAAAAAGTGTTGATAAATTTAACTTTGAATACGGAGTAGAAGCCGTCTTATACAAAATGTAGGTACTATAAAAGCTTTAACTGCTGTAGATAAAAATGTTTACTGTATCCTTTAGCTTTACACTAACTATGAATTATTCGCATGCTCACAAAGAGTGTTCAACAAGTACAGGTCTGACGAAGGAAGCTGGCGAGCGGTCGCGCAGGTCGTTGTTCATTTATGACCTATTTGGGTAAGTCACTTGGAACCGATACACAAATAAGCTTTCAGTAGGCGTAAATTATAGTATTAATACAGATGAGACAGTAGCGTAATAGAAAATAATGTAAAAACATGACTTATCAAAAAGAAAAAATTAATCTATTGCTTTTATTTTATAGTTAGTTTTCACATTCACTCTCATCATGGGAATTTCTATCACTTTTACCAACATCAACAATTAGTTCTTCTGTTTGTCTGTCTATTACTTGCTCACTGATCCCTATTTTTAAATATTTAATCTACGCCCCTGATAGGAATATTGAAGAATAAGGGCTGCAATCGTTATACCTAAAACTGACTACTTTTGCCATCGCGCATCCACGCCATTTTAAAATTTCCGCCAGCTTCCAGCGTCAGGCCTGTAGTGTCGTATAATCTCATACAATTGTATTTGTTCAAAGTAACGCTCTTGACTATTAACATATTTTATCACATGCTTAAATTAATCATCAATCTAGCCGCCCCATTTTTTGCCTAAGAATTACCCCTAATTCTTCCCCGCTTCCCCTCTATTGAGCAATTGCGACCCAACATGCGAGTTTTGTCTAGAGATGTGCAAAATTTATATTTAAAAGTATTTTAATACAAAATACAAATACTTTTTTGATTTATTGCAAATGTAAAATACAAAATAGATTTTCCTTTTGTATTTTAGATGCTAAATGCAGAATAAGTATTTTCAAAATAAATTTTTCAGATAAATACTTTTTTGTAGTACACCTATTTAATTTTCTACATTTACGTAAGTATAACATATTATATTTAAGGAAAACTTGCAGGCATTTGCTCTTTTTATAGGAGTTCCTTCAGGTTAATAGTGGTGTTTGCACTATATCACCAGTTGCAATGATTAAATATCATTCATATTTTTCTGTTTGAAGTGATGGAGATAGTTTTTCTGTCTTTACGTTATAGTTCAGCAACGAATACTTCTTCTGTATGCTTTCTTATTTGCTTTTGTCACCCGTTTTAATTGGAAAAAAGACACCCATGTTATAATAGTTTCTCTATCGTTAAAGATCAGAACCAAAATAGGATTCCAAATAATTTTATTGTAGTAGAATCAAGATCATTCATTTTATATCAAAATATTTACAACCCCATTTTGTTTCTGATCTTTTACACATTATATTAAGACAAAAAAAGGAATCCATAGGTTCTTTAGTTTTGGGTTCATCTAATAAGTGAAGTTTTTCGAATCGTTTTCTAAGAATTTTGGATTATACGCATTTATCTGCATACCACAAGAATATTATAGTTTTCAGTTTTACACAGCTGGCGTATCTCAATTCAATATCGTTTTGCGGGCTGTTTTGTCGTAATTAATAGAATTTGAATTTCGATAGACCTTGGCATTGAACCTGGAAAACAATATCGATCTAATATTTTAGATTATCCATTTCCAAATTTAGAATTTTTTGGGCTCTCTTCAGTTAAAGAATTATAAGGCATTCATGGAATGTCTCTTTGTCCCCTTTTTAAGCTTCAATGACCAATGTGAGCAACAACTTTCATTCATCATTTTATCGATGATACTAAAATGTATTTTCCATCTTACAAATAGAAAATAAGTTTGGAAAAGTATTTTAAATAAAATACAAAACGCTTTTCTCAAAAAAGTATTTAAATGCAAGATGAAAAGTAGGTATTTTTTATTTTGTATTCGCAATTTAAAGGCGAGTATTTCAAATAAATCACATCTCTGGTTTTGACGTAAAGGAATAAACCGATGTCACAGGGAACAAGGTCAGGGCTGTAAAGAGAATGTTTTAACACGTTAATCACCGTCGCGTCAGACGCGTTGTCATGCTGCAGAAACCAGCAACTAAGTCTGGAGTTTGGTCAGTGATTCGACTATAACAGTCCTCTGTCCAGCGAGCATAAGACTTGACAACAGATGAGATGAATTGATGCGATTTTTCCAAAGAGAAGATATATTTATATGAAGGAAAAGCCCGAATCCATTTAAAGTAACCATCGCCCATTTTCTAAACGAACTTTTGAAATTAAAGGTTTTTTAATTTTTAACAATTTTATAAAAAGATTACGAATATGTTCTAAAAACCCTTTTAATTTGAGACCGATAAAAGTATCTTACCTAAAAATCAAATTTACAAACAGTCGAAAGCAACGTTAAATAGTGAAAAGTTTAATGATAGGTTACGACAGAAGTATACATATTCTCTGTGATCACAGGTCATGACAAATTAATAATAATAACTATCATTTGGTAGCATTACGAAATATGTAATTGTTTTATTAACAAATTAATTGTTGCTCATTTATTTATTCGATCAGGATAAAATTTTAGCAGTGTGAACAACTATAAAAAAGGCTTCCTTTCCCGAAATTTCAATGCAATAGAAACCGGATTTCTAAATTGAAAGTGAACACAAAAGAAACCGCTTTTTC